AACAATTGAAATAAGAGTACATGAGAAGTATTTTATTTATTTATTTATTTTTTGGTTTTACGAGACAGGGTTTCTCTGTATTGTTTTGGAGGCTGTTGGTCCAGCCCGGCCTCGAACTCACAGAGATCCGCCTGCCTCTGCCTCCCGAGTGCTGGGATTAAAGGTGTGCGCCACCACCGCCCAGCGAGAATTATTTTATTTTTATTCATTTATTTTTATTTGTATAGGGCCGTGTTATGTTTGTGTACTCATGTGCATGTCTAGTACCTGAGGAGGCCAGAAGAGGATATTGAATCACCTAGCACTAGAGTTATAGATGGTGGTGAGCCACCGTGCAGGTGCTAGGAATTGAACCCACATCCTCTGCAAGAACATCCAGTGCTCTTAAATCCTGAATCACTTCTCCATATCCCCCCAACACCAAGTATTTAAGATAGTAAAGGAAATAAAATGAGGAGATAAGTCACTGAGAGAAATATTTAAAGGTATGTATGTAAATATGAGATTATTACCCAAAATTTTAAAACCTCATTTTCATACCAATAAACAAATAATAAAATTTAAAAAGCACAAAAGATAAAACTTCATAAAAGAAGATGTACAGGTATATGAACAATTTCTAGCAGCTATATGAAAACATTACAACAGGTATTTGAAGCATTCTTAGTATTATAAAAACACAAGGGAAATGTAAATCAAAATCACAGCAAGATGCTATTTCATACTTGTTGTTAGAGTGGTGATTATTAAAGAGAAAAAAGATAGTCTAAGGATGCAGAGATCAAGGAACCGTCTTATAGTGTTAATGATACTATATACTATATACTATATAATACGGTATATAGTACCGTATTATCCATCAACACTACTTCTGGGTAGAGAAACAAAGAAATAGTGTAACCATATTGATGGAATCTTTGAATTTCAATGTTCACCGCAGCAGCATTATAATCATAAGAATTAAGATATTAAAATAACCAACCCAATGTGAATCAGTGAGAGAATGGATAAAGTTCATTCTTGATACACAATGTATTATTTAGGTATAAAAGAAGGAAATTCTATTAATTAGCAGTGTGCCTGATCCTTGAAATCATAGTAAGTACAAATGTCTAAGAACAGAGAAAACAATAAGTAACATGATTCCATCCATTGAGTGTAGAGTCAAACTCAGAAATGAAGAGTACAATCATGTTTATTAGGGACTGCAGGCTATGTGAGTGGGAACAGAGTCATTGGTTGAAGAGTTTCAGTTACATTGGAGGAATAAGTCTTGAGACTTTTTAAAAAAGAGCATAGAACTTAGTCTAATGTGTTCTTATAGATACTTTATATTGTAAGCATGATAACAATGAATACACTTATGCAGCTTATTTTTCTAGAACAAAAATTCAATACTGGTATTTGATTTTACTCCTGTCATAGCCTTCCAGTTGTAGTGCTGGAATTCCATAACTACATGACTACAGCATGAACCACAATCTGGCTTTCAATTTTCCTCTAGTAATCAAAACTACATTTGAGGTTGGTACTCAAGTTTTGGGGTATTATATGAAAGTTTCATTGAACACTCATTGTTGCTAAGTAGTGTTCTGAGCAGGGAATAAATTCTGGTTCTCCATTTCATGCTGATAATTATATGATACATTTGTTATGATAAACAGATGAGTAGCTGGAGAGAAGCTGAGGTAGGGAATGACAAGAAGAAAGATGAATCAGGGTAAGTGGATGAGAGTTAGGAGTTGTTGGTACTATTGAGGGTGGTTGAAAACCCTTACTGTGAGTGGACATTGATCAGACAACTGAAAGCTGTCATAGCCATCTGGATATCTGGAGGATCATTTCCAAGGAGGTAGAAGAGTTGGTGATGAGTTCTGGAGTGCAGAGATATATACACCATGAATGGCTGAGGCTGCTATGTCTGGAGCAGAGTATATGGAAAGTAGAATGGAGGTTGTATGTAACACAAGAAGGTGGAAGCAGACAGTGGAGGGGAAACCTTGTGTATTATTTTGAGAGACATCTTTATCATCTTCCTACATAGATTGAACCCATGATCTTTTACAGGGTGTGTGTATTTATTCTTATACCATGTACATAATGCTGACTACATTGTGCCTTATAACAGTGAACTGTGACATTGTTGTTGATTTTTCAAGGGGTCTGAAATTTCTTTTGATGATGACAGTAGCTACTTCTCTAATTTGTTTGGAGCTATTTTGGAAAAAAGAGGAAGAAGAGGAAATATAGTTCATTTCCCGACTCTAAGGTAACCTCCATTTGTTGCAGTTTGGTGTTATACTTAATAGACATATGTATGTAGAATAGTTCAAAAGCCTGTAGTTGTTTATTTCCTATTGGTAATCATTGCCTAAGTAACTACAAAGCTGTGTAATTAGTTCTCTTACTTAATTTGGTGTGGGAAGGGTCGGGGGAAAGATAACAGTAGATCGTTGCTGGCTGCATTTCAGTTCTTGGGAAAGAACATAGATCAGCCAGCATGAACTGCCTGTGTGTGTCTTGGGCCAGCAGAATTGGGTGGCTGTTTTCTTATGATACTGCCATAATTTGGCAGATTTGCTAAGTCAGTTTCTTCCAAGATGTATCCAGTTACCAAGTGCCCTTTGACAGAAAAGGATAGGGCATCTACAGCAGGTATCATTGAGACCCAGTTTCCAAAGGCAACTCCAAAGATACCTACACTCAGGAAAGACTCGGGGTGTTCAGAAAACTATCAGAGCCTTGAAGACAGAGAAGGCATTGATGGTGATCCACTAAGGAAGTGTCACGTGGCTAGTTCCTTAATTACACTAGGCCATAGGAACAGTTTTCAAGATGTGTCTCAAGCATATGGTGTTAGGAACAGTGTTCTAGGAAACTGTTAGATCTCTCCAATGTGACAAATTTAGAGAACTACTGCCACAGCCCATCTCCACCCCCCAAACCTGCATTTGTGACTATTCTGGGAGCCTTCTGCGTTCCCCCAGTCTATGCTCTACCACTTCCAACCAGCAGAAGGCATGCTCAGCCTCCAAAGGATCATAGCAGGACTCTGCCTGATGGACTGGGAGCTGATGAATGAAGCATTTCCTAGTAGGTCTCTGAATGCCACGATCGATGTTATAGAAGGGAACTATGAATGAAGCATCTCCTGGCAAATTCAGAGTGGCTTCCCCTTGTGTTTTACATGGCTCTGGGTATCGTCTGGCCTAAAGGACATAGGCTGTAAGACTGAAGTTGCTGCTAATCCTTGAGGGAACTGATTTGACTTTTTTGTCATTTGTTTCTTCTTGGACTTTGGCTGCCGCGAATGTTGCAATAGAGATGGGAGAATGCCCTGTTGGCAGAGGATGTGGAGACAGAGCCAGGGTGGGGGGTTGGGAGGGCTCACCTGTCGAGTCAGCAGGACTCCTCCCAATTTGTGTCCTCCACATATGTTTCCAAGATCTCCATACTATTAGACTTAGGGTTTTGGAGATTCAGACTGAACTGAGAGTTTTCAAGGTTATCTGTTTCCCCAGAAACTCCGCTGCAAAGATGATTTCAGGGCTTCCTGGGGCACAACCTACTCAAGTCATTTATTCGTTTCTATCTCTTTTTCCAAGGTTGTGTAGTCTTAGCTAAGGAATTACATCGGACTTATGCACAGATGGGTGAACAAAACTGAATTTAACATAATTGGGATAACAGAAATAACACGGAAAAAAATGTGAATGTAGGGGCTGGAGAAATGGCTCAGTGGTTAAGAGCACTGACTACTCTTCCAGAAGATGTAGGTTCAATTCTCTGCACCCACATGGCAGCTCACAACAGTTTGTAACTCTAGGTCTAGGGAATCTAGCACCCTCACATATGCATACATGCAGGCAAAACACCCATGCATGTAAAAATAAAAATAAATAAATCTTTTTTAAAAAATGCAAATGTGAAAGAATAAGATAAAGTCAAGACTGAGTTTATGTGTACCATAATTAGTAAGTGATAATTGCTGGGAATGTGTGTATCAATGGTTAAATATATTATTACTATGACTATAAATGGGTGACCTGCATGAGAGCGTTAAAGGAGAGTACTATATGAAAACCTTACTTTGAAAAAGCAGGGAGTATATAGATTTCCTTTTAAGCAACACAAATTAAGCCAGAGGATAAAATTACTCATAGGAAAACATAAAATACAACCAAAATTTTACAATAAAGGATTAAACTAGGATTAAGAGATCAACAGAAAAATAAATTGAAGCTTCTATGGAAAGTGTTCAAGCTGCAGAGTTTCTAAAGTGACATGCATCATGTAGTCTGCTAACACTGTTGGAAGTCTTAAAACACTGTGAAGGGTGTTTTCCATGGTTGTGAGCCTAGCCTTTAACGGCTGAGCCATCTCTCCAGCCCTCCATTTTTTTTTGTTTATCGTTTTGTAACACAGTTACCAAAATTTCTTATTTTATGTGAGAGGTATTTTAAAAACATTAATCCCCTCCAAATGCTGAAGAGTAAGATTCCTTAAGGAGGATCAAAGAAATCTCTCCAATAGCTCCTGGAATCACTGACAGTACAATGCTTCCAGGCAGGATGAACATTGGGGAAAAATGCCTAGTTGTATATCAGAGTATCCAGTTACATTATAGATCTTATTTATTGAATGTGTTAGGGATAATTGAAAGCTTATATAACTCTACTTTCTTTCACGAGTCTTTTTGTTTATTTTGAGACAATCTCAGATATTCCAGACTGGCCCTGTCCTCCTGTGTTCTGAGGTTGATTACTTGTGCCACCGCATCTGGCTCTGTCTTGCATGAGATACTTACCTGTTCTGTGTGGGAAGCATTCCTTTCCAATGCTATATGGTGCAACTGAGCTCAGATCAACCCCACTTTGTCCTTTTTTTATTCAGCCTTTCAAATATCCACCATTTCTTCTGTGTGTTACTACCTCTTCAGTTTTTAAAGTGAGACTAGAAAATTAAATAATAATAGTTGTCAGTCACCAGGAGAACCTTACCTCGCTCTAGAGCATGCCCAAGTGCTAAGACCAGCAGGAGAGCGACGACTCTCTTCATGTTGTCCCTGGGGAATCCTGCAGCACCTCCTCTCATCTGCAGGTCACCATGCAAAGGACAGGAGCACAGAGTTACCAGTTGCCTTTGCAAACTCTCCTAACTAGGAACTCATCAATTATTAATCTCCACACAGAAGCAAGGGACAGTTAGCCTTGTCCCCAAAGAAAGAAAATAATATCATCATCAAAGCAAATAGACACCCCCGGGGGAAATGTGAAGGAGAATCTGGGAAATTTTAATCATTAACTTTGTCAGTGCAAAAGATCCGGGGCATAAGCTACTTTTGCACTGCAATTTTTTCCACTTGAGTGGACTTAATGTTCTACTGGGGCCACACTTCCTCCTCTGTATGAAGGAAAAGATGGATCTATACATCTTCTTTGGTTACTTCCTACCATTCTTATGAATTGATGGAAAATTTGGGGATTGCTTTACCTTTCTTTTTCTCCTTTCCTCCCTCTCTTACTCTAAGTCTACCACAAATTACCATTACTTTAGAATATCAAAGGCTAAATATTTTAAGCAATAAGATGAATAAAGAGCAAGAAGCCAGTTCGTTTGTGCCAACTCCCTAAATTCATGAATACAGTGTCATAGGACAGTTTGGGTGGCATTGTATGTATGTGTTTAGGATACTATGTAAAGTCCTGGAATGTATGTATAGAGTAGCCCTTGAGGTGAGCCAAATAATAGAGAGCTTCAGTGACTTGCCTTCAATCTCTCTCTCTCTCTCTCTCTCTCTCTCTCTCTCTCTCTCTCTCTCTCTCTCTCTCTACACACACACACACACACACACACACACACACACACACACACACACACACCATGAGAAAATCTTGCGCTTACTGCAGATAGGCTAGAGTTCCTTCAACTACTATGTGACAGGTATGTTATATGCTAGTGTAACTAGAGAACTCACAGTGATCTTGGGGAACACCAAAGCCTTCATCTTAGAGAAGAGCACAGCCCCTGGTCCCAGATTGTCAGGCTGTGATGTTACACTGAGATCAGCTCAGATGTCAGTTGCACCCATAGATTCAGGAGCTGCATTCTTCGCCAGCTTTTACTGCTGTGCAAACTCAGGGGTTTATCCCCCCTCTCTGAGCTCACTGTTCATTTGTGAAATGTGTTCATAACTCAGTTCCCTTGAGATAAGTCATGTGCAGAGCTTAGCAGGACACTTAACACATGTTCACACACATTAGTGTTACTTCTTTTATTTTAGTTGTCACATTCTCCGTTATTCTTCATGCTTACAATGTCTGAGAAAGTCATAGGAATCACTGAAATCTAGAATTCATGTGAAGACTTAAAATTCAACCCTACGTATGGGCTCTTAACGATAGATGCCTGCGAATACCCTTACCAATCAATTTGGTAGTTAAAGATTAATCATGCAGGCAGAGTCCACCAACATCTCAAACCACAGTAAACAGTTACATTCTCAATCGAGTCCCTGACTGTATGGAAAGCACATGAGTGTTAGGTTCAGAAAATGGAGTCTAGATAGTTGGAAAAGCTGATGGAGCAGGATTAAGTAGGAACTATTTCTGCAAAGCCAGTGGAAACTCACACAGCAGAAGACGTTAGCAGAGGCTGGAAGCATTGGTGAAGACACATGGGAGGCAGCTTCCTGCTCATATGCTAGCTGTGTTCTAAACATAAATTTCATGTCCAAGAGGAAGCTTCACAATTTCTCTTTCCCTTGTTAAAGGGAGTCTTATTCTTAACTATAAACTATTTGTGAACGGATGTCCCAAAATACCAAGACCAACCAAACACAGACATCAGTATGATTGTTAACACATTTGTATACTTTCATATTTTTCATGTCAAAATTACACTATAAATATACTTTAGAATCTACTCAGTATTTCAGTCATGTTCTTCTAATTAGTTCTTTCAAAAATACATTTAGACCATTTTCCATGCATACTTGCAACATAATTTAAGACCAGCTCATAGCTTCATGTTTTAAAATTGTAACTTTATCTGTGTTTTGGAAATACACTCCTAATATTTAATGATAAACTGCATGTTGCAAGAATTGCAACATCTTATTTAGGCATGATCTTGAGAAATTTCCACACAAGCTGCCAAAACTATCCTGTTGGCTGTTTCTGTCGTTTTCTAACTGAAAATCAGCACGGATACATCCATTTCACTCTTACTTTGTGATTTGTCTTCATCTTCTACAAGGTTATCATATACTATGATCCTGAAGCTGAAGCACTCCTAAGTGGCCTGAACAAAACCTTGTATTACAATTGTTGACAGTACATCTTTTGTGAAGAAAATTCTGAAAAACAAAACAAAACAAAACAAAAATAAACACAAATCCATCCTGAGTGGGGTAACCCAGTCACAAAAAGAGAAACATGGCATGTACTCTCTCATATATGGATTTTAGACATAGATCTGGGGAGTGCCAGCCTACAATCCCATGGCCAGAGAGTCTGGGAAACAGAAACTTCATTTAGTGGCTGATTGAAGAAGAGGCAGAATCCCTCGGTTAAGTACTGAGCTGAACTCAAGAAAGCCAGTAACAGAGAGGTAGGACTGGTGACCAAAGGGATTAAGACTGGGCTGATTTAACCCCCAGAAACAGCTGACCTGACAAAGGTTAACTCTTGAATCCCAGGCATCAGCCTGGTAATCCAGCATGGGACTGATCAAGACCCCCTGAATGTGAGTGTCAGTAAGGAGGACTAGGTAATCTATTGAGCCTTGGGCAGCAGATCAGTACCCATCCCGAGTATACACATGGACTTTGGACTCCCATAGAACAATGTGAGGTGCACTCTCACCCTGAACTCTTGGGGAAGGGTCTAGGCCCTGCCCTATATGAAATGACAGACTCTCCCTGGGGAAATGAGGGGATAATGAGGGGGGTTGGGGGGAGGGCAGGGGAGAGGGGGAGGGAAAGGGAGAGGGACCTGGAACTGACTTGTGAAGCAACCTTGTTTCTTATCTAAATTTAAACTGAAAAATAAATAAAAAATAAATAAAAAAATAAACACAAATCAATCTTCAGTCAGAGTCCGTTACAGCAACAGTTGTAGAAACTGAATTTATTGCAGAAATGTACATTAAATAAAATATTTAAGCAGTGGATTTGTACAGGCATCTTTTTCCTATAAATAATGTATTTAGGACTGGAGAGATTGCTCAGTGATTAAAAGAGCTTGCCGCTCTCTAGAGGATTGGTGTTTGGTTCAAAACACTTGTGTTGGGCATTCATAACTACACATAACTCCAACTCCTGTGGATCCAATGCCCTTATCTGAGCTCTGTGGGCACTTGCACATATGTGGCACACACACACACACACACACACACACAAACACACACATGCACACAAATTTTAAATGAGTACATCTTAAAGAACTTATTAAAAAGAGCTTCTGTTTTTTCTGTCCCTCCATTAGCTTTAGAGAAAACTTAGATTCTCTTCCTCAGTGGGAGAAGATGGAAGGAGAGAGTTGGCAAGGCCATTCTTGAGTTCTTTCTGTCACATTTCTCTTCTTGAAGCGGCTCCTACCTAAGAGGTACCTCTAGCATCTGACGCTGTGAAAGACTGCTGAAAATGCCTCCAGTGCCTTACTCCAGTAGAAATGACCTCCTTGCTGGAAGACTGTCTGCCACTGTGCCCCTTGTTCTACTAAATGCTTCATCAGTATGTTTGATACCCTATGAAATGGATGTTAATGCTTTATTATATACCATCTTTTAAATCGATCTGCTTGCTCCAAAGTCATTATTTAGAATGTTAAAGTCTATTTAGCAATTTGGAAATGCCTAATGGCTAACAGTGATTACCATGTGGTGCAGCAAATTGCTTAACGTAGTTTTCTAACCTAACTGAAATACCGCGCACTTTGAGAAACATCTCTGTCCTTTTCCAATCCTCTGATACTTACAACCTTTCTACTCCATTTCTGAGAGGCTGGTTTAGTTTATTTTCTAAGTCTAATAGTGATCACACAGTATTTGTTTATATGTGCCTGCCTTTTTAACACAATGACCTCCAGGTATCAATACTACAAATGATTCCATTCCTTCTTTTTAAGGACATTAAGTATGGTGTTCACGCTCATATATACATACAAGTATATGCATATATATCACATGCATATATACACACATAAACATGTATACTATATGTACATACATATACTTCATTTGTTGAAGGTTGGATAAGCATTAACTATACTTGCATATCTTGCCTACTATGGATAATCCTGTAATAAACCTATCGGTAAAGACAGCTCTTAGGTATACTGATTTGATTCTTTGGCTATATACCCGGATGTCATAGTTCTGGACCCAATGGTCACTCTAGTTTTAGTTTTCAGAATCTGCCATGCTATTTTACATAATGAATGTGCTAATTAATATTGCTACCAAAAGAGCCCCCCTTCCCCCATTCTCGGTAACACTTTATGGCATTCATATTTGTGACAGTAGCTAGGTGCAGAGTTGGCAGTCATACCATAGAAGTTGACACATACAGGGAAACAGAGGGTAGTCCAGATTTCAGGGTGTTCTTGCTGGAGTCATTTGTCTATTCTTGACTTCTGTGAGAAGTTCCAGTTGCTCCCTCCATCCCTCTGATTTGTACCTTTCGCTGATGTTTATTCAAGTTAAGTCTCTGTGCCTTGTGGTGAAAACACCTTCTAACTAACTAGCCTTTAGGTCCTTCTCTCTGTTTCCATCATTTATCTAACACTCAGACAAGACACTGTTGAAGGATCCCTATCCAAAGTCTCTCAAAGCAAGGTCCTTTTAGACTCTAGGTGTCTGTTAAATTGAGTGACATGAGGAAAAGTTTGTTGTTTTGTTTTTTTCCAGGCCTTTCTGCAGTCTTTGTTGACACTCTTCCCCTCTCCCTTTGTATCCGTGTGGTTTTCTTCGATACAAAAATCTTTAAACGATTCATTTAGCATATATTTAATTCATCCCAGTTTGTGTAAGATAATGTGCCAGCTATTGTTACCAAGGTCAAAAGGCCATCATGGCCCCTCCCCTCATGGACCTAGCTAGGAATGCAGGTGTGGAGAGCA